AAATTTGGAAATTAGACCCCCATTATATAAGAACCCATTCAGCCTGACATTTGAAATAGGTTCTTATTTGAAAGATCAGTCCAATTAAGTTAATTAAAAAAGCAGGCATTGTATGAGTAAAATGTACTTTACTACAACTGTACAATATTTATTTGATCTATTGAGTTGCCTACCTATTATATCTAAAAATCCAGCTCCCAGGATTAAAGTACTACATGTATTCTGAACAGTAGCAAACAGTTTAAACCCCTGAATTAATACGAACCTAATTAAGAACCTAAACAGCCTGATTTCCCACTAAACACCCGATATATAAGAACCTATTCAGGCTGACTTGTAAAAATGTAGGTTCTTATAAGCGGGTGTTTACTGTATTATAAAGGGGACACTTGTTTTTGTCTAGACTGTTCACAGCCTCTCTATTTTCACGACGCTTTTTGAAAGCGAGTGCAAGTGCGGAGTGCGAGCGAGGAGGGGCTGGGGTGGGTAATGGGTGAACAAGAAAAGAGACCCCTCGTTTGTAATGTCCTTCATGGAGGGTTTCACTGTATACTATTAAAAAACGAACACCACCCACTCCCACCCTCAAAATTATCAATTTCGAAATTAGAAACCTTTCGTGATGAGGCCATTTGTTATATGTTATTTCCTGTTCTCATAGGAACTTGACAAAGTAGGCTCTGATTGTACAAAGCAGAGTCCCTCAAATTGCAAAAGTGTTTCTGGAACAAAGGGTGTCAAGGGTGGTACTGGAGAAAACGGTGGTAATGCTGGCAGACCTGGTAATAGCAGCTAATTGAATTCAACTTAATTATGTGAAGTGTTAAATGTTTTCTAGTAAGAAAGGTTCCATCACCCTAGCCTCCTCACCGTATTCGTTAAACTTTCGAGCTGAACACTTATTTCGATTTTCGAGGAAATAAAGACTCACCGCATTTCCTCAATTTTAGCTTACCCCTTCTAATAAGCGGGTCGAGTGGTCCGGTCATTGTATTGTATTCTTGGAAAGACACTTTACTCTCACAGTGTCCCTCTCCACCCAGGAGTATAAATGGGTACTGGCGACAAAATTATGGGGGTAACCTGCGATGAACTAGAATCCCATCCAGGAGGAAGTAGCAATACTCTTTTTCGGCTTCTTGCTATGGAAACCTGGAAAAGTTATAATATGGACCAGTTTTGTGTGCAGCTTATTTACCTACCCACCTACTTACCTACCTTTTATTTTGACCAAGCTTTCCTTTGCTAACACTGTTAGCTTGCCGTTATAAGGATCAGTCAGAAAAGACAATTTTAATTTCCTTTAACCAACTGCCAAAACAGTGTCCCACCTCCTTCAAAAAATGACTAGTGAGTTTCGTTCTTGGTATAAATATATGTAGAATCGTTGAGACGTGAACTTTGTTTGTCTTCTTCACAGCCCCGGGGTGTGGGGGGGGGGGGGGGGGGGGGGGGGGGGGGGGGACTCCCGGACGAAAGTGACGGGGATGCTCGTCGTCCCTTTTAGGGGTGTAAATAAGGGATTTTGGTACCGCCCCGCCGAGGCCGTGACGCGTTGCGCGACGACCCAAATAACGACGAAGCGTGTCATAGTTAATCGTTGATTTGTTTTAATCTGCTATTATTCATTCGTTATTTTTTTAAGGTAACGGAGGGGAGTCTGGAACACTAAAAGTTCTAGTGTCTGAAGTAGATGGAAACGTGGAACTCAGAGCTTGTGGGGGGAATGGTGCAACCGCGGCTAGAAATGGACGAGGAGGGCAAGGTGCGGGAGGAAAACTGTTTTTTATCTTGAATTGTTTTATAACCATTGCAATTTCTAGAGTAGTACCATTGGTTACACCTATAGTTGAATTATTATAATTAGAATATGTAGTAATAGGACATTTCCGAGTTGCCTTTTGCCTCTGTTTCAAAACGAGTCCTGGTGCACAGCCTTTCATATGGAAATGAGTTTTACCTGCATGTTTATTGTCATGCAAATCAAACTAATTTCCATATGAAAGGTAGTGCACCAGGACTCGGCAAAAGGCAACTCGTAAATGGCATATTAAAGATGGGAAGTTATCAAAAAAACATTATAGCCAGTCAAAGGCGTGAATTAAACTTGATGATTGCAAGAATGCGGGGACAAAAATAAAGAAAGAAAAAAGAGAATGCGGAGGTATATACCAATCTTCTAATCACTCATACTCGCGCAACTGATGGACCATGATCGGCACTTCTCCAGGGAATTTATTCAACTCGGGGATTAAATAAATACCCTGATCGTCACTTAGTTACCGAAATAGCCACCCTCGGGGAAATGGAAAGTGGTCGCTTAATTGGGGTTGGCCGCTTGAAGGCCGATTTAGACGGTACGATTTTGTCGCATGCGACAAGCTTACAACAAGCCTACCACACGAATTGTTTCGTGTAAATCAAACCTACAACTCCAGCTCGATTACGATTATCGTGTACCACACGAAAAATGTCGTAGGATTTTGAAACATGTTTAAAACCCTACGACATATTGTAGCTACAAACAATGTTAAAATATGAAAGTCGTATACGATTTTTACATGACGCCAGCAGCGCGCGCTACAAAAGTCGCATGCGACAAAATCGTACCGTCTAAATTGGCCTTAACAGAGTTTCGTCATAAATTAGCATAATTAATTAAGAGGTGGTAAGAAATCAAAAATATTAGTGACAAGGGAATCACGTCAAGACGAACTCTCTCTTTACCCCGCCCTATATAGGGTCTGAACTGCCCGCATGCGCATGCTCAGAACGAACCAATCAAAATTCACTAGACTCGTACGCTCGATCGCGTACCAAACGCTCGATCGCGGCAAACTTGAGTTGCAAAATGCGAACACTAAAAAAAAACAAACATGGAAACTCCAACCAAAATAGTGTACGAAAATTGCTGTAGAATTTGCTCTTCGAAAAAAGTCACCTCAAAGCTGTCAGTTATTATCCTTAAAAGCGGAGAAGGAACAGAAATTGGGAAGAAATTATACTACTGTCGAATATCTATTACGGTCGACGATTCCGCTTCACGGCACATTTGCGTATATGTTGTAAGAAAAAATTGGACAACATAGTATGCAAAGTAGACGAGTTAAATATATAATCACTCGGCACATCTCTGTAATTTAATTGTAAGCAACTAAATTCGATTTGGCGGCCGTGGGTCTGTACTGTAATAGATGCACAGAATACGTCAAAACGTGCAGAAGAACGTGTATTTTCGCCGCAAACAATGCTTATATTTCGCTGGTTGAAAAGTGGCGACAATACTTGCAAAGTGTAATGTGAGTAAAGGTGGATTACTCAGGTACAAATGTTGTTATTTCTAAATCAATCATAGAAGAAAGCTTCTGGATATATAATGGTTTTAAATTTCTAATTAACTTCAATTAACTCCACCCGAGCAACTAAAAAGAAGTGCTGAGGTGCATGTACTTTGACTTCCTTTTCAATGCAAGTGACTCGCACTACCAGGACAATCAGCTGAGTGTCTAAATGCACGCGCAAATGGCGAATTACGCGCAAATGACGAGTTTTATACGCGAACATTGTTAGTGGCGAAGAAAAATGAATCTCTTCGAGTTAAATACGGTTTTATTCTCTAGTTAGAAAATAGCACTCCAGTGAGGCAGAGAATATATAGAGTGTTCATCTACAAATGTTATAGTAAAGCAAGGTCTGGGTTGTTAGTAAAAAAAATCGTCATTTGCGCGTGCATTCAGGCGGCCGTTTTTTAGCAGTCGGAAAAGAAACTGGCAACACGTCGCTGAAAAATGATCTTATCCCGCAAGAAAATGTTTTCCAAGAACAAAGTAGCACATCTACTATCTCACTTCACACCGGCAGGAAGGTTTTCGCACAAGAAAGAGATCTAGAAAGTCGTCAGTTTCTTCATTTGAAACGCCCGCCATTACTACATCGAACTGGAAACAAGCTGCGAAATCCGACTAATGCCAAATATGTTTTTTCCTCGATTTGGGGAGGGAGGGAGGGGGAGGGAGAAATGGCGCATGCGCATGCAAGTGATCCTGGACTCTCTCTTTTCCCGCTGGGTTCCAGTCCCTATGGGCGGGGGTAAGAGAGAGTCCAGGGACTGGACTAGTCAAGACGATAATAAACGTGTGTTTGAATGTTTTTATGAGTCGTCACCTTCTTTTTCGGACTCTTATCTGTCTTCTGTTTTTCCAAAGCAAGGCCAAACTACGTGTATTAAATTCTTGTTGGCCGCTTAAAAGGTGTGCACGACCGCTTAATAGAGGTGGTCATTTAATAGGGGTTTTATTTACAGTATTACCTTAAAAGCTCTATTAATCCCTCGGGGGCTTATTTAATTTCAGGCCTCAAGAGGGGGGGACTTAGAGAGGGGGGTTTAATAGTGAGGGCGAGCTAAATAAAGCAATTTATGGTATACAGACGATAGGCTCGGAACTATTCAGGATAGTCGCTTAGTAGGGGTTCGACATCACTGTATAACTTGGCCGTTATATAATTGAATTTTTTGTGCACTTTTACCCTGTTTCGTCGCAGGTGGTATTGGCAGTCTAGGGGGCCACGGTCGAGTGTGTCGAAGTAATATATGGGATCCAGCTGTCCGGTTTCAACAATGTGAAGATAAAGGGCAAGGTTCTTCAAGGGCTGCAACCGGACCTCGAGGAAACGCGGGAACGTCAGGAAATAGTAAGCCAACAATACAGATATTTATACGAAGAACTATTTCGAAGCCAGAAAAGCCTCGCTTCATATGAAAATAGCCCTAACCCTAAACCCTAACCCTAACCCTAACCCTAACCCACAGATTTAACTGGTTTACTTTCATTTGTGCATGGGGAGACTTTCCTGGCATCGAAATAGTTATTCGTATATAGCCCCAGTTAGATTTAGAAGCCATGAAACACACATATAGTCTGGAAATAAAAATGTTCCGAGGGAAGACATATGATACTACTCGCTACGTTGAGTGGCCAAGTTGCCAGTGTGGCATGGTTGCCTCGATGGTGTAGTGGTTATCACGCCCGACTTGTAACCAGGGAGACGTAAGTTCGATTCCTGCTCGGGACAACATTTTTTAGTCAACCTTGTTCCCAGCCGTCTCTCATCCTCCAGGGGACGGGAAGAAGAGAGACCCTGGGAACGAGGTTGTTTTTTATTTCTTATGGGAGGTGTGTCGAAAGTCATGTTTACAAATCTGTATTTTTCGTCCCTTGTTCAGGTATGAAATATTTTGTACTAATTTTTAAACTTCTTTAGACTTATGTTTTTTTATCTGATCTTTAATATTTGGATGTAGATCGCAACGTTTCGACTGTTTACTGCTAGTCTCCATCAGGCGATGTGGTCAACTGGTTACACGGCACCATACGCGCATGATGGTCTGCTGTGATTGGTGCATTTTTTTCCTAGGTGAAGCAACTGTTTCCTCACTTGTCTCGGTCTCCTGCTGTTGTGTTTCTTGATCGTGGGCATCCATATGGATATGGATTTTTTCAATTCCGTTACCGAGTCCCTGTTGATGTTGTTAGAGTGACGTCGGCTGTGGATAGCCTCTTCAACCCTGCATGTGTACCAGTGCGAGTATCGATCAATAAACGTTACTACTTTGTCTAGTGTGATCGTCTGGGTGAAGGTAGTCCTGTAAGGACTGTTGTTGGTGACTTTGTTTCGACAACCTGAGCGGAATTAATCTTCAGAGTCAAGAATACGACTTCCGTTCAAGTTGTCGAAACAAAGTCAAAAGGTTTTTCTTTGCCTCTTGTGATTCCATTAGTTACTCGTAACGTTGAAATTACTTATTTCATGGATAGACAATGTGCTATCGGTAAAAGGTTCCTTAACAATTCTGTGTTATATTTTTGCTTTGATCCTGAAATAGCGCCAAACACTCCGGGAGAGCTTGGTGCAATAGACGATACTTACGTTCAGTCCAGGCCTCTGGACGAGCCAAGTAAACAAGCTTTTCCAGTGAAGCTGCTTCAGGTTATGAAGAGACATGCTGAAGATCTCTTGTGGGCGAAGAATTATGACGAAGGAAGACGTGTTTTAAGATTTGTTACTCTGATCACTGCCGACAGAGACGATGCTGCGGATATTTACAAAGGTAACTTTGTCTTGCTTTTATGGCGTTCATGGATCTAGGGGACGTCAATTATGACGTCATATATTGCAAAAAGAATCCCTCATCTTGGATCCGCCATCTTGGATTTCAATATTTTTCAAACCAAAATCAATCTCGTTCCCAGAGTCCTCGTTGCCCTTGTCCAGCGGTGGAACGGCCAACAAGGACCTCTGGGATAGAGTGATCCGCCTGACTTGCGCAGTAAGACCGTAAGTCCAAGAATCTTGGCGTCCATTAGTTGAAACATGGGGTCGAACACATGTGCAGTGCAGTAGAGCCGGAAGTCCAAGAATCCTGTCATGGCGGATCGCTTTATCCCAGAGGTCCTTGTTGGCCGCTCCACCGCTGGACAAGGGTAACGAGGACTCTGGGAACGAGATTGAACCAAAATGTATTTGCAAAAACTCGAAACAAATATTAGGATGAAAAAACTGTAAACAGTTTGGAAGAAACTATACATAAAATCCGAAAATCTCATTAAAACCGAAAACTAAGCTGAAAAAAAAACATCCGTGGTCGAAGCTTTATCACGTGAGATTTTAGGTATTTTCTAAAACATGGAAGATTTTCCTCTCAAGCACCGAGTGTCCCAACGCGACATTTATTAAAGAGCTTGGTAACGGGTATCATGTCTCTCTACCGACTGAGCATAGTTAATAGAGGTAAATGGCTATGAAGCCCGACAAACTTCAAAGGAGCAAACAAAGAGGCCAAGATGTATGTTGGAAGGTCCATGACCGTGCACATCTGTTTGTTTTTGCGCTCATACACTATGCATGAATTACGTAATCGCAACGTTTCTATTGGTTAGTTGCTTGAACACACGTAACCACCTATTGTATTTTGTCAGGTTTTGTGCACGGTCAACCCCCAAAATAGCGAACAAAAACATTTAACAAAGAACTTTGCAGGGCTTCGTAACCATTTCCCTCTATTAACTATGGACTGAGTGAGGATTATAAACATGAGAAAAAAAAGTTGCCATAGTATGTCAACGATAGTATCGATTTAAGGTTTCTTTGTTTTACTTGCAGAAGCAAAAAGAAGACTGGGATTTCTTGGCAAAGCGGGATATGACCTATTTGGAAATAACGAGCTATATGCGCCCAGAATTAAATGGGAACTGCTGAAAGGGATTGTCCAGGATATGAGAATTGCTGCAACAAGCTATGAAACTTCTTTCAACAGCATTGGAGCAATGATAGCAAACGATGAAAATTTTCAACAGGTATGCGGTGGAAACTAATGAGAAATTATTTCGTGCATGATATCTCTTATTATAATTATACAATGCTGATGCTATCTCAATTTGATTGGCTAAAAGAACGCTGCTAATTCCAGATGGCACGGTGTCAATGCGTCATATCTACAGACACTGGTATTTATGCATGTAGGTATGACGCGTTTTTGCAGACAATGTTTCGGCTTCGGCAGATAACACAAACCTCGGCCTTGATAATTCTCGCTATCATGCTCAACCTCATCCAAGATTGTTTAACCCTAGATTTACTTTTTTACTAATGGTTTCTTCCAAAATATTTACAGTTTTTGCATCCTTACATTTTTTGATTGGTGATTTTCTGACATTTCTGAACATTTTAGAAATCCAAAATGACGGATTCAAGATGGCGGATTTTTTTAAATATATGACGTCATTATGGCGTGATATGACATAATAATTGAAATGTGGCTGTCAATAAAATAAACATTTCTGGATGCTTTACACACCATAAAAGTTTCATTGTCATAGCGTGAATACTTTTTGAGATACATAGGGGGCGGGGGCACTTTCTGCCTCCCCCTCTATCCCCCAGGCTCACGAACAAAAAAAGCCCAGGCAGAATAGGGTTAATGTCCGTTTGGGGAGATTTTTCCATGTTTTCCAATTAGCCTTTCCGAAGTTCCAAAGGGAACTAGGCAGAATTTGTCAATGTCGTCTAATAAAGAAATTAACCAACAGACAAGCTCCCACGAGTCTCCTGTAGTTCAGTGGTAGATTAGAGTCTGGCCGTAGTAAAGAAGGTCACTAGTCGATTCTACTCCTGTGTATGTTGGGAGAACTCGGAATTATTTTTCCGAGTAGCTTGTGTCACTGACTGAATAATATATTTCTCATTGTGCTTTTACCAGGCTTAATATTTTCCCTCGTTTATTTGCAAGAAACTTTACTCGTTACTCAAAGTGCAGAATTTGGATGTATACTGGAAAATAAACGGTTTTCACTCAAGTGAGGTTTATTTAAAATAAAGCAACGGCGGTACAACGTCTTTTCTATAGAATAATGTGTTCTACATGAAAGTGAGGCTTACATGCAAGTGCGGCTGCGGTTATAAAGGCAACGAAGAGTAAATTAACATAAAAACACATTCAATTAACAGTTACTGATTAATTAGCACTGTATGCTGACGAATTCTGCATGGCTGTTGTAGTCATAGTGAAAATCTCCTATTGGTTCACCAAACGTTAATTTCATTGCCAGGCTGCTTCGCAAGTGTCTGAAACCACAAGGGTACAAGTTGAGACCGAAAAAGAAAGATTGATTGAAGCCAGAAGAGTAGCTGTTACAGAAAAGGAGTTGTATGCCAGGGTAATTATTTTAATTGTTATACATTCAACTCACTATCTCTTTTCTGATTGGCCGAAAGCGTACAGGGAATTTTCGAAATCAGCGGCTTTGAAAGCATCTGCGTCATCTACCTACAGATTGTCGAAAGGATCACGGGTAATAACCTGCAGATTATACAATAATCATGTCAAGGACACTCAAGGTCACGGGTTTTTTCCTCTTCACGCGGGCCATAAATCGAAGGGGAAAAAACTCGGTCCGTAACTTACCGTACGGACCTCGAACTCGGTTAGTAAGAGGTATGTACAGAAATATCTGATTATCAACAAAGTGTAGAAGACGTAGGATAAGCACAAAAGCCGCGAGAACAAACGAAAACATGAGATTAAATATTGCCGGCGGACGACATGCGAACAAAATATTCGTCGGGGAAATACAAGTTTAATTACTCTCCAAAGCGAAACGAGAAGGATGAAACAGACAGCTTATGAACCGGTAACATAAGATAAAAGGTTTAATCATTCTGATTTTTACAAATGAAAAAGCTTAGAGACTTCTGGAGTTGCCGAAAGAAAAGCTCGTTGAATATCAAAAGGTGGAAAATGCATTTAAGAGGCAAATCTAATCTGTGCGACGTCTAGTGGAGTCCTCCTCTGCTGAAAAAAGCCGTTTTGTGGCTTTATGCTCAATATTTCGGCATTCTGGCTGGAGCATCGTGTGCTGAAAGTCGCTCAAAAAAGCGGGCAAGTTTGAAGAGTTTTTTTTTCTGCTCTTCGTTCGCTTTGACCTCCTTTTCACATTTGGTTGTCAATTCCAGCGGTTCATCTGCGAAGATTTCTTCCTCATTGCCGCTTGAAGTATTGATTGCAGTACGCATACATAGTCTATGTAATCCCTGCTCGATTTCTACTTCAGAAATGAAGTTTATTTCGGAGTAATTCGAACCGAAACTCAACTTTGACTCACACAATTTCGAAACAAAATTCTTCAGTTTAGTCCCAAAAGACATAGAGATGATCATTTTTATGTTCAATTTTCCCAAACAAATCCAGAGAAATGACAGAGGGGCTCTGTTGTACAGTTCCCGAGTAGACGTCATAGCTCGTTTTCGCCAACAGACTCCCTATACGCGGTTGTGCAACATTTCGAGTATGACTTCAGCAGAGCATAGAAAATCGAGGATTCAACCGAATCCAAAACTTGTTTCGCAGAAATGCTTCGAATTGCATGTAGATGTATTTAAGCGAATGAAAAATTTGGGTGTTAGGTGCACTTTAAAATAAAATAAAAAAACCTTGTGCTATATGCTGGTTGTCAACAAGTACTTACATATACAGCTGGCTCATTTATATTTTTTCTGAAAACAAAATTGGGACGCGT